TGGTATTTCAATGCCGATTCAAAAAGTTGCCAGACATTCGAGTATAACGGCTGTGAAGGTGAGTAATTATAAAAGCGCTGTGGATTTTTGGTTCCGTTCATGAGTTGCGCCACACCTGGGTTGAAATTTAAATCAAATCGACTAAGCCTTCGGAAATGTTTAAGGCATATGTATCAGCTTGTGTGAGCCACCCGTTATGCAATGTGTCTTCTCCTTCTTTTGAAAGCTAAGTCAAAATAAAAAGGGATGTGATTTTTACCTATATTATCACGGCTAGGAACTGAAATGTTGTGATTGTAAGCGATTATGGAAAAGAAATATGGCGTACAGGGTTAAACACGACGGGTAATCAATATCATTGTTATTCATCCCTCATTATTTTGATTGCTTCTGAGACTCATTCCTCTCAAGAATCCAGGTTTTTCACCTTGTGAGCCCTCTACCGGGACGGCAAAAGGAAGTGGAGAAGTGGAGAGAAAATGGGGTTCTCCGAAATGATTCCTCCCTCCATTCGTTCGATGCACGCTACTTGCACACACCCATTTCCTCTTCATCCTACCTATGTAGACATATTTTGTTCTCTTCCCGAGGCTTTCCTCTTCCCTCTGAAGGCTAGGAGTCTCCATTCATTCACCGCGCGCTCTATCCGTCGAGGGTCATGCCCCACGTGCTTCCTGTATCGATAGTCCCCTTTGAAATGAAGAAAAAACTGATTGTTTCTCTTCGTCGAAGGGTTACGAGCAGCCATGGATTTCAATTTTAATGAATGATTTCTCAGAATACTCTCAGAATACAAAGCCCTATCAGCTGTAATTTGAAGTTTCAATGAAGCCTTAATGGGTCATTCTTAGTCTTGTCGTTCGACAACTTTTAAGGGCAGCGAAGCACGATAGCTGGAAGAGAGGGGCGATTTTCGCGACCATAAACGTGATTGGTATTAAGTCGTAGTAAGCTAGTCCCAATACATCTCCCAACGCGCTGATTGCTCAGGCCCACCAATGACGCCTCTGAGGTCTCGAAACCGCCAATCCTCCTACCATCCGTGTTCAGTGTCAGCAGGGTCAACCCTATCGTTGTTACTCTTTGGAAATTTTTTACGACCCCCCCCCTTCATGGGTGATTTGATACGACCCCCCTTGTATGTGACACTTGTGTAGAGACAGTGTTTACCATCAATATTTATTTCTACGTAAGTCATCAAAGATGAAACTTTAGCAAAATCCACGACAGATATTCATCGCTGCTTCCAAACACGAAAAAATGAGATGCATTCAAAGATATCCGTGTACTCCAAAGGGTTACCAAACTAGGAGATGAAATAAACTGAACCAGTGACCGGAATATTGACAATATTACCTGATAAAAACTTATGAGAAGTCAGAAAAAATTATCGCTCCAATTGAAATACTGAAATCCTTCACGTTCTTCAATTGCAACACAATTTTTACACCCCTCTTTCTAAGGCTATAACTTCCTTCATATTTCGAGCTTCTGCGCCGAAGTGATTTGATTTGGAAAATTCAAATTATTCTCTCTCCAACCATGGGTAAAAATTCTTCGAAAGTTAATTTAATAAAAATTTAGTACGTTGTTACTTTTTTCTGTGCAAAGGCGACTTTTTGACCTTCAAACGATCATAACTTCCTTCAAAGTCATTCATTTGGGAAGCTGAACACGTATAATACGAGCACCAAGCGTTCCTGAAAGATCAGCAGTTCAAAAATTAGTCCCGTTGTTACTTTTTATTTTGAGGGGTATTCTTTCAAGCCATTTTCTCGAAAACGCGAGTTTTCTTAGGTTTCACTGCCCGTAACTTCTTGGAAGACCAATTTTATGTTTAATTAGGATGTGCTAGAAAGCTCCGAGCATGCGCTTGCACTACATCCCTTGCCTTGGTGCGCGCCACGCCTCGGGCGCCCTTCTAATTCGCTGATTCATTTGAAAGCTCATTTAGAGGGAATCGTGGTTTATAGATGCTCTAGTATCAGTCATCTTACGAAAACGTAACGTGCTGGCTATTATCCGATATTACCAAGAATCCCACTGTCGGCCACCGAGAGGGTACGACCCCCTCCCTCCAAGCTCAACTGAGTACGACCCCCCGTTGTTACTCGTAACAACGTAGGGTTGACCCTGCTGAAGTCTCGAAACCGCCCATCCTCCAACATGGCGTTCAGCGTCTTTAAGTGGCTTCTAGAAACCCTTGCATCCGGAAAGGAACAAGGACAAAGCGTTCGGCGTTTGTCCTCTTGGTGCGCGGGCATTCCATTCCTTTCTAAACCGTAGCGTCACCTGAATTCACTGAGTTGAGAGAGGGAGGATAACTGTGTAGAGAGCTTGCAAGTCTTGGTCGGAAATGAATACGGGACTCGATCCTGGCACCTGGGCTATGCGCGTGTTGCGAGTAATTCCTTAGACTTAAGGTTTGCTCTCCTCCCCCTTAACTGTTATCATCGGTATCAGCTATCCTCGCATTGCTCATCGAATCCCTCGAATAAACGCTGGAAATATAGTCGTCTCTATCGCGTGCAAGAGTACTCCATTGGGTCCTCTTGGCTTGAGGGACGCGTAGCGCGCATACATTTCGTACATGCTTCTTTCTAAAAAGACTACTTTCGTAATTATTCACTTGTTTGTTCACTTTATTCACAACGTCTAAAGCCTTAAAAGCCCATAAATTAAGCTAACCATCGTTGACTCCTCCAAGAACGGAATTTCTTCGAGTTCTGTTTATTTGTATTGAGAAATCTGAATACGCCTTTGGTTCAGCCCTTTTTCAGGAAACGCGCAGCGACAAACTTTGCGTCACAAAAATCCTGTCAAAACTACTGCTTGTCTGAGGCATGTCCTCCTGGAACGGTGGTCGCTAAAGATGGTGAAGGCAGCCGCTTGGTTCAATGTAGCAATCCTGGTAAGCGCCGATTCTATGCAATAGAACGCTAACTCGAAGCGTCTTAAAATTTGTAATGTTTTACCCAGAATTTGGTCTTGAAGGTATTCGTCTTCGAATTGCTTTTAAAGCCACAAACCAAGATGATGGCTTTAGAAGCAAACCTAAGACGAATACCGTACACGATACCAAGATTCATCGAACGCTGAACATCTGTGGTTTTGAAGGATTAATCTATTGAATTCAGGTGGACAAGGTCGTGTTTCCGGTGGATGTCCCGATGGATACACGTGCTATTCGTCTCCATTACTGGATCAGAGTGTGTGTTGTGGAGCCAGCACGGAACTTCAATGTGAGTGAATGATCAAGGGAGAAAAAAGGTCTTCCTTACTGATCGCACACTGCAAAATACGATTTGATTTTCGAAAATAGCTCAAGTCCACAGCAAACTGGGATAAAGATAGAGAGTTTGGTGTTGGATGCATCATGCACACTCCTTCTATCCAAAATCGTAATGCCATTCAAATGCAATAAGCCTACACCTACTCACGCGATTTACAAGTCACTTTTTATATCTAGACAAATCTGATACCAAACCGACCCCATAGGGGTGGAGGGATTGATTGGCCTCGGCGATGTCGATCACTCTGGGAGCGTGCGCGTGGGAAGCGACATCTCTGCCAGTAAATCATCTCGACCTGCAACTACAATAATTCCAAATCCTGAATATTCCGTTGTGCTTTTTTTCAGAATTTTTGGTATTTGAGTTATGGGTCCCACGACCTTTCAGACTCCGGATTTTTCTCTGCTCAACATGAAAATTAGATGTATATGGGAGCAGCCCACTGTTTCCCAACCCTCAGCCCGTTCACAAAGGGGGTACATTTCGGTCAATACAGTTGCCAATAATGTCAGAGTTTCGAAAATAAGAACGGAGCTGAAAGCAAAAATGCGGAAGTTGGGAATGAGCCGTAAAACCTGTCAGTGGTCTTTGGGGCACTGTGACTATGTGAACGTGTTAAATTCCAACTCCATTTCACCAAAGAAAGCATTCCA